CAAGAACATAATCATTCATACTTTAGGTTGGGCGTACTTAATCGATGTATTATTTCGTTGACACCACATTGTGAACAAGTATACTTCTTCAAAAACATAAACATCACAATGAAAAACACTAAAACCTATCGAAAATGTTGCATCAGAAAATTGTGAAGGTCACGATTGTTTTCAACAATGCCTGGTGAATGATGTGAAAAGTTTCATTTATTTCATGAAAAAAAAGTAACGGTAGATTTTAATTTCTAAAATGTTTGTAATTTTCGAAGTTTGTTAAAATTCATCCATTTTCCACGTAGTAAGTATTCGACTATGATTCATTCATACCTAATATTTTCTTTTGTTTTTTTCTTCTGTTCTTTTTCTATCGAATACAGATTGCATGTACATTCACATAGATGTCTTATATTGTTATCTACTTCTTTTATATAGCTTTACGATTTTCATTTTGATTAAACACATTGAAAAATCAATGAATGACGAACTACTTCAAAAGAAGAACAAATACAAAGGAAACAGAGATGAATTCTAAATCCAAAAATTTTTTGTTGAGTGTAGTAATAGATTGACTATTGATTTTCTTCGAAGCATTATTTATTATCTTTCATTTTAAAGATTTATATATTAAGATTTCAAAAAGAAAGAACCATTCAAACGAATGAACAAAAGAAAAATTTGTAAAAAAAAAAAGAATTGGTAAAATTTTATGTTATAATTATTTTTAGTTGTTGTTTTCTATATATACGTTCATCTCTTGTATATGTAGTCTTAGTTCATACATCTTATTGTGATGTACTTTTAAAACTACCAGATTCAGTACAGGATGGTACAAAAAATTAAACCAGATAATTGTATTTTAAATTAGTGAGAATTTTTGTTTCTTATCTTTGGTAATTAATTAATTTCTTTTTTTTCAATATTTCAAACGATACTTTCTTGTGATATCCTTCTAAGAATTCTAAAATTCAAATAGATCTAATAATGTATGAAGTAATGTATACCAGTATTTAATATTAACAAGATGTGTTATATTAGGAAATGTTCTATTTGTTGATAGAAATAAAAGTAATTTTCAATTGAAGTATATTAAGTATAGGGTGTGGGGTGTGAGTGTGGATATGTGGGTCCGGGTGTAGGTTTGTGTGTTTATATCAAGTAATCCACACCCACACCCTTAATAAAGAATATAGAAAAACGTTTTTCTTCTTTTGAATTATTAGCGATACTTTGATTACGATGGGAAATGATAATTACTTTGCAGTTAGAGTCTCGTCTGAAAAAGTGAGAGTTCACCATGAAGAGTGTGAGTGTACATAAAAAATAGATAGGCCATCAAACTCACATCCATTCATCATTTTTTTTTCATTGATTCATGTCTGCTTAGTTCGAATCTTGTCCATCAATTTCAAGTCTCAATTTATTACGATGCTCTATCATATATAATTAAAAGAAAATTTTCTGAAACATTCTTTAAATATTATCATGACTTTAATCTTCCTGGATTCGAAACAAACTGTTTTTTTGTGTTATTGTATTCATATCAAAGTCAGAGAAAAATGTTGGACTAACTCATACATTATGGAAATTAAATGCGGGTTCATCGTTCTTTAATTTTAGAATAAATTAACGATTTCGTCCGGCTCGAGCAGTTGCCTGAATAAGTGTCAGTTTAATGCTATAGAATACTAACAGGTATACGAGGAGCTTGATATCCGTTTTGTTTTATTCTAATAATGTATATTCATAATGTTGACGCGTACAAATACATAAAAGAAAAAAAGAAATAGAAAGAAGTGAGAGACGGAGAGGTCAAGGGCAGCATGTCAATTATGAATTAACATTGATACTGGTATTATAGGACTGATGTTTATTGATGGGGAGAGCATTTTTTAACTAAAAAGATAAGATCGAAAATTTTACAATCGTACTGTTCTCCAACGTAAATGTTATTCCCTATTTTTCTGTATTTTTTTTATACGAAACCTTTCTTGCATGAAAAAATTTTTATGTTACTATCTCTCTGTTTCTTTGTTTCAATTTTCTCTTTCACGGAAGATTTCGATATTGCTTTGTCTTCGTACAAATAAACTAATTCAAATTCATTGTTTCTCTTCTTATCGATTGGAAATTATTTTATTTATTATTTAAAAAATGTTTTAGAGATCTGCTTTCTCTTTCGTCAGTTAAAAAAATGTTTTCAAATGAAGTCATAAGCGTAAGTTTTAGACCGAAGATTTTGCGGCTCATTATCTCTGTTTCCATTGTAAGCATCAATAATTAAGCTCCTACTTGCTAATTAGAAACCGAAGCAACTAGGATTCTGCCTGTTTCAATTACATCCAATAAAGGAAAAAAGCTATAGTCCTACCAATTATGGACTATTAGTGAGTGTGGATGTCGGTGTTGGTCTGAGTGGATGGTGTGGGTATTGTGCGTTTAATGAGAAGACCCACATTTATTGGAATCAATGTTTTAGACATCTCGAATGTATTGTTCATAGTTCATTTCTTGAAGTATGAAAATATCATTAGAATTTTTTACGAAAATCTTTCTTTGAAGGTTTGTAAAGTTCGTTACAAATATAATCAATGATATGCTATAAAACAACGTTGATTAATTAAATTTTGTGGTAAATCTCATAGGGAGAATAGTTCGAAAATAAAATAAAACAAAATCTTTCAAACTGAATGTCAGTAAGAAAATATCTTTAAAAATTTTTGTTCTAATCAGATACGTGTAACATGTCAAAATATTCTTAAAATAATTCATACATGGAAAGAACATGAACGTTTATATATATTCATATTGCACTTTGTCATAGAAAGTACATAGAATGTGATGTACTTTTTATTCTTTTCTATATAAAATATATTTATGAATAATTACAAAGAAACAAAAGAAAAGATCATCACATAACAATAAATGGAAGACTGCTCATCTTCATCGTAGGACATATTCAACAAATAACAACATTCTTCCAACTCTAAACTAATTAAATCATTGACAATTTCGACTATTGAGTAATGCATTATTGCTTTTCCTCTTGACGACATCGGTCGAATAGAATAATTTAGCCAATGAAATCCTTATGATTATTTTTGAAAAATTGGACAATCTTGATGTACTTTATTCTTTCCATGGTGTTAATAAACGATTGATAAAATTATACGTAATCGAATATTCACAAGTAGTCTGAATTTTGTATAACAGTCATCTAATAAATTTCTTAATAAATTTTCTTCTAATGTCATACTTGATTGATTTTGTTTACAAATTTTACTTGGTATATCTATGAAAATCAGAATGGATTTACTTTGAACCATCATCTGTAAAACATATTCTACGTGCTACAGATTATCCTAGCTTAGCTAGACGTTTTTTTACCAGTAAGAAAATCTGAATAGAATTCTTTTGATTCTAAACAAATGAAAAATTTTCTTAAAATGAATATGAATATTTTACTGAAATTATTAATACAGTTAATAGGTCATTGAGTATATAAATCAATTTTTCTAATTTATAGTTCAATATGAAGTTATAAAAGAATCATTTATAGAAATTTTGATCAATAATTGTATATCTATGTGTTTAGATGAAAGTCTTTCATGTGGTATTTTTAAAAAACAAATAATAAGACTTATTATAACAATTGATCGAAATAAAAATGATTTGTTTACAATGGTAAAAATGTGCAGTCGTATTTCTATGTTTATCAATTTATTACATTTAATCTTTTCTAAAATCATCATATGAAGATATTGTTCGCTTATTATTTGATGTTCCATCTCGAAGTTTCTCTTTTTCAAGTCTTTTGTTATTAATTATCAAGGTTTAAAGTTTTTCACAATATCTTTATCTTTTTGATGGTCGTTTCAATCAACTTCATACACTCGTTGTTGATTTGGCTAACATTGTTTTTTCAACAGAACTAACTGAAAATAAAGTTAGTTTTAAAAGAAAATAGATTTTATTTTTTTTGTTTTTCTAGGTAAAAATCACAATTCTAAAATGTTTTTGTTCTGTAATGTACTTAGGAAATATCATGTTATGATGAATTAGTTCTGCCACTTCTTTATCCAATGTCAAATTTAGAAAAACTTGTTTTATATCTTACGATCTAATATGCTAAGGATACATTTATTGATGGAAATCATTTAAAGGAAAAAATATATTCTCACATATGCCGCAATTAAATGTATTTGCATTTGATATTCGTTCACTTATATTTATTAATGATCAGATGAATTTACCATCAAAAGAAGATATTCAAACGAACATTCATAGATTTTCAATATACTGAAATAATATCTTATGTTAATTATTTTCTTGAAAAACAATTGGGTCATCGTCATGTTTATTCATATCCATCTGAAATGCAATATTATCAAAAGATAACAAATCATTTCTATTTATAGAAAATTTAACTTTAATTAATCATCGATCACAAAAAACATAAACAATCTTATAAATCAATAAATCATAATCACAATTCATCAATTGTTAAATATAATTATTTTATTACATTTGATATTGCAAAAGTTCGTAATGATTATATAAAAGAATTTTTATTTAATACAAAAACATATTTTCATAATAATATTCTTCTTTATATCAATTATTAATCATTAGAGGATGTGGGTGTGGGTGGATTTGGGTGTTGGTGTTAGTGTCGTTGGAAAGAATGCCCACACTCACCAGACACCCACACCCCAATTAACATATTGGTTGACTTTAATTTGTTGCTTATATATGGGCTTTGTGGCCTAATGGTTAAGGCGTCCGACTTCGAATCGGAAGATTGCAGGTTCGACTCCTGCCAAGGTCGATTTTTCTTTTTCTTTTTATCATCTACATATAAAATAGACTAATCGCATCATGTCATTCACCATTTTGTCGTAGTCCAGTATAGACGCGTTTTTTCTTCTTTTCTGTCGGGAGTACATAATTTTCTTTATACTACGAGACAGTGACTCATCCTTATTTTTATAATAATAATGATGATGAGTGGCAGAGACAATAAGCCTCATCAAATTAGTACCACGATTAGCGATCAGGAGGAACAACCTGATTCAAGAATCGACTCATCAACAGCATTCCAAAAACAATCAAAACGGAACTTATCAAAAAGATCAAAGGAAGGCGATGACTCATTCGAAGTCGAACATCGTTTGGTCAACGTGCGTAACCAATACTTCAACAATAGTAATTCTCATATAGAAGCAAGCACAACGACATCTCGCTCCACAGTGAATGTTACGAATTCAACATCTCCTCGTCCGTCATTTCCACCTTTTCGAATTACTTTTGCTGCCGATGATTCGCCATCTGAACTATCAATTATTAAATACACCAACAAGCATTGTCGCATCAGCCTTTCTTATGGCCGTTATTCAAAAATGGGACGTAATAAAAGTTTTCTCTTATATGCGAACTCTAGTGAACAATTTGATCGATTAATGGATAAAAACATTTGGCCAATACAAATATGTTCTCTTGATTTTTCTATTGATTTTCCATCTAAAGTTCCTTCTTGTTATTCTATTGTAGCAATAGGTGTTCCTACTCAATGGAATTTAACAGAATTTCAATTAGATATTAAAAAGCAATGCCCGACAATTATTAAAGTTGAACGTCTTTATATTAGAGGTGGTATACCAATTTCTAAAGTACGAATTGGTTTTTCGTCCAATCAAGAAGTCAACAAAATTATCAAGAATAAAAGATTGTTATTAGATGATGATAATACGTCTTTTGTGATACAACCATACTCACCACCACTTAGAATATTACGTTGTTTTAATTGTCAACAATACAATGATCATATTGCAGCAAATTGTCCACATAAGGACAATCCCATTTGTTTTCGTTGTGGTCAAAATCATCCATATAATCCACATTGTATTAACAAAATCTGCTGTGCAAATTGTCATCAGGACCATATGGTGGGCAACCCAAATTGCCCGAAAAAAATCGAAGAAAGAAGTAAATATCAAAATAGTATCTCCACGTCCATCAACAACAAACCAAAACAAGATAATCTTTCTTCCGTTTGGACAACAAATCAACCTAAACGTAATACACCTATTCGTCTATCCAGTTCAATTGAAAATGTTCAAGAAACTTTTGATAAAAGTGTGATCTTGGACATTTCGAAGAAACTTGATTTACTTATGACTAAAATTGAACTTTTTTCAACGGAACAAGTGAAGATAAATTCAAGTTTAAATAACATGAATCAACTTATCAATTCATGTTACAAAGAAGTTAATTTAATGAAAGAATTTCCTATGAACAGTGTTTGTCCATTTGTATGTGAACTGAGCGATGCATTCCTTGGAAAGAGCAAACAAGTAGAAAAAGATCGACTACGTCCATTACTTGTTAAATTCAAACAAGATTTCAAAGAAGCAACTAAATCAACTGTTCTTGATACACGATCTAATGCTATATTACCAAATTCTTCACCAAATGAATCCATCAGCGAGGATTTTTAAACCAAATCAAAAGAAATTTTATCCCATCAAAACTGATCATTTAACAAAAGCTGAAGTAAACATCTTTCAAGATTTATTATGTGAATGGACTGATACCCCTACACTTGATCTTTTACTCGAAAATTGGACAAAACATCGTGATAAAACTTTTTCTATGATGAACATAAAAGAAAATATTTCTCTTCTTCTCTTGAATATTTCTAGTCTGAACCGGTACCTTGTTGAGATCTTTCATCTAATTGAGTCCATCTCACCACCAATTGTTGTATTAAATGGTACGCATCATGACGAAAATTCTGTTAAACAATTTACATCTCATTTCTTCAACTTCAATGTCTTCTCCATGAGAGGATCGAACATATTTGGCGGAGTGTTAATTGCGGTACACAAATCCATTCGTTCTCAACGTGTAGTTAAATTCGACAGTCTACCTAATTTAATAGTGCTTGAAGTTGGATCAGATTCAGATATGTTCCAACTAATCACATGTTATTCTCCACCTGCTGAACCAATTCCTCTGGATATTCTTGATCGTTTACTTCAACATAATCCAAATTCTATCTTTACTGGTGATTTTAATGCCAAGCACAGTTCATGGTCAAAATCAATGGAAAATGAAAAAGGACGAGTACTATTCAATGGGTTATCTTCATCACAAATACATTCATCCCTTGAAATCATTAACAAATTCATAGCCACTTCAACTCGTTTCAATGCAACAATCGATCTCATCATCGCACCTTCACACATGTCGACTGCCTCCTTCTCGGTTCTTCCAAGTATTGGAAATGATCATCATCCAATCTTATGGCACCCATCAATTAAAATTTCTTCTACTTATCATCGTTTTCCCATCAAACGTACACGTTGGAATCTACTTGAAATTTTTCTTACGTTCACAGCAACTTATTGGCAATCGTTAGCCGCATCTATGTTACACTCAGAAGCTTTTTTCTCATTATATGAACGTTTTCTATCATTATGCTTATCACGCCTTACCTTCATCAATTTTCGCAAAACAATCAAACCATCTTTACCTCAACATATAGTCGTTATGATTAAACAAAAACGTCGTTATCTCAAATTATTTCGACAAACACGTCATCCTTATTTTGCTGTTGTCCTACGTGATATGCCAAAAATGATACACAAGGAGATATTTCACCACAAACGGAAGTCGTGGCTAAATTATTGTAATTCGTTAAACGATTGTAATACAACAGCTTTTTGGAAAAAGGCAAAACGCCATTTCAACTCCAGAGCTGCACCAATCGAAAGTTTTTTCGTCAACAACAACATCACCTCCTCGTCAATTGATATGTGCAACATTGCTAGAGCGTATTATGAAGAACAATTCTCTAGTCATCATTGTAATCAGTCGGAAATCGAAATTGAAGCAAATAATGTTGATATCGAAATAGAAAAAGTTTTGACAAATGAACCACCTTGTCCCATTATCATTACTTACCATCACCTTCGTCGTTCCGTTGCTTCTTTAAAAAACAAAAACTCGACTGGCATGGACGGTGTATCAAATCGATTAATTAAATTACTTCCCCCCACTCATCTTTCTATAATTCTCTCATGTTTAAACAAGTTTGCAGCTACTTTGCAGACACCGTCGCACTGGCATGTTGCCAAAATAATTCTTTTATCAAAAACAAAATCAAAAGTTATTTCTATTGAAGAAACAAGACCTATCTCATTATTACCGTGTTTCTCCAAATTATTTGAAAAATGTTTCCTGATACATTTTCGTAAATGGATTAATGAACAAGGTATTCTTCCTGCTGAACAAAGTGGTTTTCGACCTGGTCACAATATGGCTGTCCGTTTAGTCTCTATTGTTGATCAAATAGGACAAAGTTTACAAAAGAACACGGCAGCTGCTGCACTCTTCGTAGACTTTCGTACAGCTTTCAATCAACTTTGGTTTCATGGATTATGGTTAAAACTAGTCAAGTTACAATGTCCATTATATTTAATATCATGGCTTCGACATTACTTAAAGGGAAGAAAAGCTTTTATCGACATCAAAAACACGGAGTCGTCTATGTTCAATCTCTCTAAAGGTGTTCCACAAGGCAGCTGTATTGGTCCAGTTCTATTCATAATCTACCATTATGATATTCTGGAAGCATTATCAACTATTCATTGGAAACACCTATTTGCTGATGATCTTGCTATTTTATTTTCGCCATCGTCATCAATGTCTTCATCCAATATGATAAATGCTTTAACAGACCAAATAAAAAATGTTCTCCTTCGCCTGATCAACTATTCAATTAAGTGGAAACAACCAATCAATTTTAGTAAAACACATTGGATCCTTTTTCATCGTCAAGTTGTTCCTCAAATTCCAAATATTATATGTGAAGGTTATAACATTGAACATGTCAAGAAATTCAAATATCTTGGTACGATATTAGATGCTAAATTATCATTTACAGAACATATTGATTATATTAAAACGAAAATTCGTACCAATATGAATGTATTCAAACGATTGACCTCCAGTCGCATGACGAGTGAACAAGTCAATTATCGACTCTACAATGCTTTTATTAGACCCTATCTTCAGTCTATTCTCAACATCTATCCGATTCTCACATCGTCAAAACAGAAACAGCTGGAAAGCTTGAATCGAAAAATCTTCCGAGTAATACACCAATGGTTTGATGCAAGAAACATCGAAATTGAAAATCTGCCCAAATATCAATCCATTTCTAAATTAACGTACAAGCATTGGGGTAAATTGGTACACACAATACTCGAAACAAATCCAAGCATAATTGAAGATTTCTTACAACACAAACTATCGATTCTATATCTTTGTGAATATCTTTCAAACCCGGCACTAGCAAATGAAAGAAAATCTTTGGAAGAGGAAGAATTCGTAAAAACATACGCAAATTGCTGACTGAAGATCGTTCATCTCTGTTCGATCTTATTTTGTGTTTTTACGGATAGAAGTTCTTTTTTTTTTTTTTTTTATTCACTCTGTTTTCAACTTAGCTTGATCAAATGTTAACTCAAGTTGGTTTTTTTTGTTCCCACGCTAAAGGAGCGATGCTCGCTCATAGCATTAAAATAAAAGCATTATACTACTACTAATCGCATCATGTATAGATTAGTCACCAAATCGATCTTCTTCCATAACAACAACAACGACAAGATCAAAATAATCAAAAGCAAAATGTGCATTTTTTTCCTCGATCATCAACCAATAACAAATCAAATTATGTAGAACATTGTTTATCATCATTAGATGTAAATATTGATTCGTTATAACACAGAAAAAGTGTTACAAAACTGAAGCGATCAAAACGTCATCAACCAGCATTAGTAACGATAAATAATCAAAAATTTCTTCTTTAAGCATTGATTTTGTTTCAAAAACACAAATAATAATAATATTTGAAGTAAGATTCTATCAAATAGATCTTTTTCACATGAATCTCTTTTGATCTCAAATGAACCTGGATATTGCTTTATTATGATCAGTTTTAAGAGCAAAACCAGCTAAAATCATAATAAATAATTGTCATGTACATCATCGTCGTCTAAGTATTTTCCAATCATCAGATTTAACAATGATGATCATTCATCCGCATCATATCGTTATATTCAACTAAAGCCGTCGGTACGTTCGAAGACCTTCCTTCGATAAATGAACCAAATCACGTATCAGAAGACCCCTATCCTCTTCAGAAAATTGATTTTAGAATTTTACTACGGGTGTGGGTATCGATTACATACATGTCAAACCTGAAAATTGAATTCAATTATTCAATTATTCACTTTTCACCAGCTGTGGGTGTGGAGAAGGGAGTTCTGATGGAGATGACATACATATCTTTACACAAACACATCACGCGACCAGGTGTGGGTGCTAGAGACCTGCAATAGACTCCGAAAATCGACTCCGACTCCGACTCCGACGGAGTCGGAGTCAGAGTTAAAAACAAAGATTTTTTCGGAGTCGGAGTCGAATCGAAGTCAATCTTTTTTTTCGGAGTCGGAGTCGGAGTTAATGTAAATTTTAGAGACTCCGAAAATGTTTTTATTCTTTTCTTATATAACATGTTTATTTTTCATAATACTAAAGCCAAGTAAAC